AAAGTTATTAAATATTTGTGAAATTGATCAAAGTATGCAACTATTTGCTTGCAATATTACATATCAAGTATGCAATGTTAGTATAAATATTAATTAAAAATCTTTAAAGTTGTCTAAATAAAACAGTAATTGTATCAGCAAACTCAATAAAGAGTAACATAAAAAATAAACCAGATTTTATACCATTCTATGCAATGAAAAGCTTTTTAAACTATTAAAATCAAAACGATAACGTTTGAAATAAAATTATTAAATAATTTAATACGCCTTATTTTCTTTTATGTTGTCTCGTCGAAGGATAGAAGACGAATACGAGGTACGTTACTACGTAACCTTGGTAGAGGGGATCTCGGAAGTGTCGAACGCTCGGCTATTATACCTATGTTATCGGCTGTTTACGTTTTGTCGTCGGAAATTCGACGAAGAAAATTCTTCGAGAAATTCCTGGAAATAAAAATACACATTTATAATAACCTATATGTCGAGTGTATTGTTTTCTTATTCTTCCTCTCTCTCTCTCTCTCACTCCTTCTCTCTCACTCTTTCTGTAGTATTTCTATATGCTTATATGCTTATATTTAANGTTAAGTACATTTGAAGGTTTAAACCCCATTAATTTTAATAAAAAGTAAATTAAATAATTAATTGTTTTGATTGAAATAAAGTTTTTAAAAACGTAGATACATTGAAGTTATAAACCATCAGTATTAATAAAAAGAAAATTAAATAAATAAATAAACCATTGTTCTGATTGAAATAAAATTTCTGAACACGTAAATACTTTGAAGATATAAACCATTAATTTTAATTAAAAAAAAAACAAATTAAATAATTAATTATTTTGATTGAAAATAAGGTTTTTGAAAATGTAGATACCTTTGAGTTATAAACTATCAATGTATTTAATAAAAAAAAAGAAAATGAAATAAATAATTGTTCTGATTGAAATAAATTGTAGATATTAAAACCGATGACAATGATGATGAACGAATGAAAAGTAGATAAATCAGTTCTTATCTGTAATAAAATCTATACGTAGTCAAAGAGAATTACGCGTTAAATACAAAGATACGACAAATTTTCGGAAATTCGAAGAATATTTCAACGTTTTAATCGTTTCACGATCATCATTGGGTTTAACACGTTATATCGATTACTGATAAGAGTCCTGATATCGTTAACAATAAAATTATAAATCCTTCTAAACACGGATTAATTTATATATTCAAACATCTTTGCATGCATCTAAAGCAACAATTTCTTCAACATTGCCATAATAATTTCACTAACGTTAATAATCATTATTATTAAAATTAAAAAAAAAAAAAAAAAAAGAAGAAAGAAAGAGAGTGGAAAAAACAATTTCACAAAATGAAAATGCATTTTGTGCTAGCTTAAACTTACAATTAAACAGGTGTCTTTATCAGAAATAGAAGAAAAGATAAGATTTGTGATAAAGTAACGGCCATTAGTAACATTACAAAACAAGAAAAAGAAACAAAATGAAAATAATTACGAATATTTCTGATAAGTTTTTAAACAATCATCATTCTTAATTGAAATGTGTTATTATTGAAAATTATTATTATCGAGATAACATTTCTTTTTTTATTTTTTACTTTTATTTTATAATAAAATTCAACTCAGTATCGATTACATTCCTTCCTAACGAATGAACTAAATTTTGTTTTTCGTTCTTATTACTAATCATATCTCGATTAACAATAACATGTTTCAATATACACAACTAAACTAATCTCTGATATCAGGACAGGTAAATGCTGCTTAACGTTTGATAAAGAGACCAAGTTCTTAGCAAAATAAACCTCTTACTGTCCTTCTAGGTCAATATATATATATACTTTAATAATATACCATTCAAACTTCTTATCGTCATCGTCGTCGTTACAAGTTAGCTTCGAGATAAAGAAAACGGGACGATTTCATTTCATTTTTTTTTGAGAGAGAGAAAGAGAGTAGGAGAAGTTATTTTACAACCTTAACTTCGTGGATTGTTTTTTTACACCATCGTATAAAAAAAAAAAAGTTATATATATATATATTTTTAATTAGAAACAGTATAAAGTAAGTAACGAAGTGAAATTTTCTTCTATTTATTTTCTGTTTCATTTCTTTTATTTGATTTTTTGTGATACACCTCAAGTCTCTATCTTTGCTATCCTATCAAAGTTAAAGATAGGAGAGGTACTCCAAATGTTATATCTTAAACGACGACGTGACTGAACTTTCGTTTGCTTAATCCTCGATACCGGTATTGTTTCTGATAATATTCATTACAAAGTTCGTAGATTGTTCATCATTCTTCTTCAAGGTCTTCTTCTTTTTCTTCATTTTCAAAATTTACTTTTAACTAATTTGTCTCTCGATAAGAATAATTAATTATTCCTCGTCGTCATCGTTAATTGAATCTAATCTAATTTAATTATTTTTTTTTTTTTTTACAAATAAATTTAATTTGATACACAATCTTACCCATACGCACCAAATCTTTCAAGATAATTTCTACAATTTAATTATCCAATCGTATTTACTTGGCTTTTTTTTTTGTTTTTTTTTTTTTTTAATTCTTTATATTAAATGTTCCAGTTTTCTTAAGAAATTCAACATGGCTATACACTGATAAGTTATCATTCTTGAAACTCTTTAACTCAAGTACTTAAATTCATCTTATCGATTAAAACTGGAATAGTCTAGCGATTGCATTTCGACGAATCAAAATTATTATATAAATAATATATCATCGTTTTATCGGATACAAAAAAAAAAGTACAATTCTATTAACAACAGGAAATGACGGAACAATGTAGATAAATTACAAAAAACGATCATACACAAAATAAAGTTATAATTATTAATAATTAAATTCAACTCACCGCATTAGGAAGTTGATGATATTGTAGAGAGTGTAAGAAATCTGCTGCATGCCTATTCAACATACCTACATGACCATATTGAGGTTCGATCCAGATTTCTGTGATTATTTGAAAATCACCAGACCCTTCGCAGTCATCTGTACTAAGATCACCATCCACAGTACCTAAAAAGTTTCATTATTCATTAATAATTTGATCAGTTTCCAAATATTTCTCATATTCTATATGATAATACCTTCGTCGGTATCTTCATCAGATTGATCTGCTTCTAAATTATTGTTCAATACTACTTGGGGTGGAAATAGGATATATTGTATGATGCACGGAAAGTGTTCTGAATTTTTTTCAAGACCTTGCATGTTTACTTCCAATACCATACTTATGATACCAGCCGCAGAATAAGCGAAATAGAAACCTTCCTCTAAACGCATTCTAATTAAAGAAAGGGAAAGAGTATTATTAAATATTATCAAGTGAATTATAAGTTAGCATGATCTATGAGATATTTACTTTGTAATAGTTGAGAGAATCCTGGCAATCGCTGTGATATTCAATCGTGGTAATGTAATACCAGGAACGATATGTACAAAGGGTCGTTTAACGTGCCACAGCCATCGATTATGATACAAATATCTTGATAGGGTTGTTGTATGATTGTTGGTCAATATCATTGAATTTCTACTAGAATTCGTATGAGCATTATCAGGAAAGACTATAGTACTTGGATCCGTAGGTACACGTTCATAACGTATCAAAATTTTCTCTAAAGGTTTATGTATAACCGTGCAACAAAGAGTTTCACGATATTCCATTGGTCTATTTGGCAAAGTTAGTTGAGATAATCTTTCTATAAGATCGACCACAACATTATGCCTGACACCACCTTCGGTCCCACCTGTGAATGCAATATTTAACACGACGCAGAGGGCCTTACAATTAACACGTATTAATGAAAATGCAACTGGTGGCTTTTCTACTTCTTTGTATATAAACTGGACATATGTATGATTCTCAACGAGTACAAATGTTGCCCAAGTCTTCAACATGGCATACAGGACAGCAGCTGCTTGACGACATTGAATCCATTGAAATCTTCCATTCTGATTAGCTTGATGCAAATATTTCGGTAATAGTCGATCATGCGATAAAAGTAATGTGATCCTTTGCGTGTGCATCCAACGTGCCCATTGTGTAATTTCCATTGATACTACTGGATGCCATATTTGTCCGAACTGTGGGCAGGCAGCATCGCTAAATTCAAAATTACCTATATAGTATTTTGTTTTAATACTTATTACATACAAAAAAAATAATTGCAATTGATTAACTAATCATTTACCTAAGCTGAAGTGTATTAGGCACAGGGTGAGCTGATAGATTAAATACAGGCATTCCACTTCTAATAGTATCTGGTATATTGTACCAACTCCAACCAGATCCAGGAAACCAACTAAAGTGTGCCAACATATTGTCACTTTCAGTTAAAGATTTAATGGCTACCCAAAAACGTGATACTACCCCTTGACGATATTGCGATTTTAATGGTTTCTTGGATAAACATGTTATGTCGTGCAGAAATTCATAAGGTGCTAAAAATAAAAATATAATTCGATGTCGTTTAGTGGATAAAGAATTATATTGTCAATAATTATAACGCACCTTCAATGGTAATTGTATATTGTATAGTGTTAGAAACAGACAGAGACTTTGAAGACCAGGGACACGTTACCAAATGTTCCAAAAAAACATTGCTTTTCCATAAAAGAACAAAACATATTTCGAGAATATCATCTCTTATTGTCGCTCTTTTAATTAAATATCCTTCTCGCAAACGACAACACAATAAACTACTCAAAGTGCAGGTAACTTGATCGTCAATCTGTTTCTTTCTTAAAAGATGAGGAGGTTTGTGTCCATAAAAAAATGTATTGTTAGAATGCCACTTGGTTTGTTTAGTTGGAATTGTATAATTACACGTGTCGCGATACAATTGCCAACAGAAAATATTTTTATGATATATATTAATATCTTCCTCCGGTTCAGGTACCTACAAATGTACACCAACGTTATTTAAATATACATTATAAATTATTGATAGTATATAGAAAATAAATGTACGTACAATTTGTGGCATATAAGTCATATAACTTCCTAAAGTTGCAGATGCGAGAAAACACAATAGATCCTGATAAGGAACTAATCCATCCGCACAATGTGGATGGTACATGCTACCCACATGTACAAAGCTACATGCAACAGTTGTTGCACGCAGTTGTTGCATAATTGGATCTAATACGTGAACGTCTGTTGTACTAACTATGCCATCGGTGATAATAATCAAATCTGTAAGAATAAGTTCATTTTTATATAAATACACACATATAGAAAAGAATATTTAAATATTATTCTATAATAAAATAGAAACTTACGCGCACAGCTATGTTCTGGTAACAAAGTAAGAGCTAACATTCCATATCGCAGCATGTTAATAAAGTTACCTTCCGGTAAAATCATGGCAGTATTACCGACGCAATTATTATTTTTATTATAATAACTAGTACCATCTTCGAAAAGACCACCAACTAAACGCTCATTTTCAGCCTTCAAAGTTTCCAATTGTTGATTAGCGATAGCTGCTACAAAAGATACTTTTTCTTCTAATAAATTTAATTGCTTTTCTAAATGTTGTATTAGATTGTTAACATTATTGGCAGTAAGCAGCCATCCTTGTACCAACACTTGTTGGGCCGGACTTGTAAGAAACGGTGTATGCGCTATCACTGTCACAAAAATCTCAGGTTGTAATATACGCTTACTTCCTGGAATTGTAAACTGTAGATATGGAAAATAAATGAAATTCAAGTATTTTTAGTAACCATAAGAAATGTCTGATCATACTTACCGGTCTAGTTATTCTTTCAAGATAGATTTTTGTAGCTAAATATACTTCATCTATAACAATTGCTCCATGCTGTATATCCTTTGATGAAATCAAATAAAAATAATTATTAATGCGTTAACAGAAGTTAATTCAAATAATGAAATATTGCTTACAATGGCAGCAAGCGATGGACTCAAATCCAAACTAAAAACCATTCTATACTTATGTGCTAGAAAAATGATAGAAGTTGTTCCTAAAACTTTATACAGAAATTGATGACTAGTATCGATTGACCAAGATGCAGGTGATCCATTTGGTAACACTGATACAATTTCCAACTCCGGTGCATCTTCATAGTTAGTATTAGACTGTTGAATTTCTATTATACAATCCAAATGTTCTAACATCCATTGTGCTCTTATATTGCGGGAGATTGGAAATCCTCTCTTCATTAATAAAAATACAGTGCCTGCTTCCAATACAGTTTTCTCCTATTGATATAATCAAATTTGATAAGACAAACCAACAACAAAATAATAAATGAATTTATGAATACATATTCTTACCTCGTTCTTTAATTCAGCCATATCACTTGTTCATTTAAATTCTTAACCGAAGGGTCAATGTTGAAGTTAATCAATTTCATTTCGTACCATAACACAATAATTAATATGTATCATCTTAATAATAAATAATACATCACTATTATCAAACAATATACCTACATTTGTTTACACGTATCACAATTCAAAGGTTATGAATCACATTGCTACCTTCTCATTTTCTACTATATTTTTGGTATTAGTGTCAAAGAAATACGTCTGCAATATAACCTCAAAAAAATCATGCATCGATGATTTGACGTATGTTGTCAATTGATAGTTAAATTTGCTTACAATTAAACAAATTAGTAGAAAAAGATATCATTGATTTGTCAAGAGAAAAATTAACAATGCAACGAATTTTTATACTAAATGATTCGATATGTTTTGTATCGATCATAACCTTCATAGTATTTTTAGTTTAATATATCGTAATATTAACTACGCAAATGACAGAGTCCTCGATTATTTTCTTTATATTAAATACAAGAAATTTACATAGATAATAATAATGAGTAAGAATTAGAAAAAATCATCATGTCGATAACAACCAAGAAAGGAAAAAAAATCTGTGATTAATTGCTCTCTTTCTCTTGCTCTTTCTCTCTTATTCTATCTTTTACTATTTAACCATACGTATATAAACACATTTTAAATGGATGAGCAACACAAACCACTTCACACACACTTTAAACTATACAGAAGTACATAGAACACTAATGTCCACTTTTAACGTAAACAAAATCATTTTAGTTAGTACCGGGACAACCAGTGGGCGCGGTAGTTGCTTAACGTAATGACTGTACCATGTTATCAATGAACGATAAAATACTATCAATGAACTACACAAAACTATCAATGAAAGGTACGATACTATCAATGAAAGGTACGATACTATCAATGAAGGGTACCATACTATCAAAAAATATATCATATGCTATTAAAGAATACAGTATTCTTTATATACAGTAAAGTTATATTGTATAATAGAGATTTAAATTATTATATTTAAATTTTAATCAATAAATATGTGTGAGCCTTCAGAAATGCATTTATACATATATTATAAAAAAACAGGAGAATAATCAGAAAGGCTTGTTGTTAAATCCAACGAAGATCACCTGTAACAAAAAGAAAACTATATTAATTATAGAATCAAGTGAGATCCAATAGCCTAACATGTGAATCGTCCAATTCGCAGATGCACTTTTCAAATTAAATTCTCTAATTACTTTTATCAAATATCTATTTACCTTTGCAATAAAATTAAATTTAAACGTGTGATTTAACATTTACAAAAAAAAAAAAATAAAGAAAAAGTAAAAGTACAAATATTAAGTTAGCAAAAAAATAATATCTATTAATTATTACAGAATACTTTTAAGCAAAGTTATATACAAAAGAAAAATTGCAAATTTAATAAAATACGATAAAAGTTAAAAATCTCAAAGACAAAATAAAAAAAAGATTACTCTATTATTCCAAAACTATAATTAAACTTTAAAATTTAATAATAAGGGAATTTAAATYTTTTGACTGAACTAACTAAAYACATGTGCATCTTTTTGACGATATAGACACAAATTTAGTGTCCCAAGGAGACGGAATGGTCCATCATCTCCAATTACAACTAAAAATTAATGACGAGCAAAAAAGTAAAACAATAAAATATAAAATATGACTARAGAGCCATTCTCTAAAGGTTCGAACATACTGTTGAACCTTTGAAAATAACTCAATAGCCTGATAGTTGCCCTCTTGAGCCACAATTAAGTGGGGGCCTCTTCGGCATTAAGCCTCTTCTTTCTTCATTTCCTGAAAACTGCATTTGGACATTTCTTACGTGCAAGTAAGATGARATTTTTCAAACTACTTTTGCAAATAAACTGGTATTTTGTTATAATTCTAATTCTCAATTATTAAAAAATTAWTTTACAATTCCCGTTYAATATTCTAGCTCGTGGACCATCAATGAACTTGGAGTTCATTGACCATACACRAGAACATTTAATSGAATGTCCAAGCAGTACATAATTTCCCACGATGACCTAATAACACTTCGCACTTTTAACGTCGAGTAATAAMATTGAATTGAATTAAATAGTGCAATAAGTATAATGCATTTTCTTGCAATACTATCATTTCATTAATTGGCTATTAATTTATTCGTTTATTATATTAAATATTTCTAGCTGTAAGACGAAATCGCGACAGTGCGTAGTGCTAATCCTGAAATACTTAAAACTAAGTATCAAATGCATCAAAGTATTTGCGAATTTGATTCGACTCTATCTCGTTCGAGATAAAATCGAAGTAGAAATGAATCTTTCAAATGGTTGCAAATACCTTTGAATCATGATACATAATAAAGATTACAGAATAGTCACAAAATAAATTAACAAATCAAGCATAATATAGAATGAGATGATACAATTTTGTAGCAATTCTGTATAAACCAGGAAGCGGAATTTCCACTCCGGAGTGGAAGCAAGAAGTCTAATGCCTTTCCTGGATCCTACCTACTTAAAATTAAAGTTTTCACATTCATTCAGAGAAGTATGCTACCTGCCTGCCTATTATTCATATTTTTACCCATTTTAAGAAAAACCATACATACCCACCCACTCACTCCACGGTTCTCACACATACCACCAGGGTGCAAAAGCCTAAACTAGAGAGCATGCCCCGGGGCACCTCCGACACCCTAGTTCAACCACGTTTTCTAAACTTATATGCTAATGGGTATACGTACGTATTGCTGAAATCGACTGCCAAGGCTAATGATTATTGCATAMWAAACTAAAGCAAAAATACAAGTATACACTAGTATATATGTATGCATACTAGTAATATACAAGTATATCAAAGTTTCCACAAATAAATGCAGTAACTCTACTATGCAAACGATTAT